TGGGGCTTTAAAATCACGCATTCCAGCCCAGCCCACCCACAGTCGAATGGACTGGCAGAGAGGACAGTCCAAACAGTCCAAACTTCGCTTTGATCTTCCAGCAAGCAAGAAGATCCTTCCGCACCTGAAAATGTCCATCAGTGCCTGCGGCAGAGACAGCTTCAGCCGAAGAGGACATGAAGACTAACAAAGGATGGCAGCCAGCAACAGTGGAGAGAGCCAGGAATGGGCCAAGATCCTATGACATCATCACACTAGCAGGGGCACAATACAGAAGAAACCGCAGGCATCTTAGGCCTGACAGGGTGGCTGTGCACAGAGACAATCGCATCACAGGCCCTGCTTCTGATTATGACCAGGACAGCGAGCATGAGGACAACGAGGGAGACAGTGCGTCTGTGCAGGACCCGGAGCCATATCCTGATCCTGTTCCTGAGCCCTCCACAGCACAGACATCGAGAAGTGGAAGAAACCTGAGGCTGCCGTCTAAACTAAAGGATTATGTACTCTCAGAAATAACCACCGACTGAAGTTGTAAGGAATTACCCTTTACTGTCTAGTTACATATACCATGATAATACTCTGTTTATTATTTGTAAGTTCACTCATTTTGTCTGATATTTAGGTTTTCATATATGCTTAGTTTAACTTTAAAAATAACAAAATAAGTATCCTGCAAATTATATGATATGTTATATGTTTAAGACTTAATGTGGTTAAATATTGTTACAGTAAGATACCTAAGTGTGTGTTTACCACTGTGCCTTTACTAAGAGGGGGGATGTTGTATATAAGACTACGCGTCCTATGATCACCCAGTGTTTGGACAACCAATGGGACTTGGGGTTTGGCCTTGGGGGCTTGTGGGTAGTTTTTGTATATGTTTGGAACAGGTTACCGCACAGTCAGATGTGGATACGAGTTTTATCATATAAAAGTTAAGACTACTCCAGCTGTCGTCGCGTCTGTCGTTTACTGCACTTGACAACTACTATTATAATTCTCTCTCTGATAAAAATACACTTTTGTAAAGAAACTCAGTCAATTCAAGTAAATAGTATGCCTCTGAGTAAAATATTCCTTTTACTCACAGAGCTAGGACTCATTGTCATCCTGGCTACAGTAGCTCTTATTTTTACTCTCCTACCAATACTGAGTAGTAAACTATGCCAATTTTGCAGAGGACTATCCAATAGCCATAATTGTACTTAGTCCTGAAGAGAGACTTGTCCAAACCTGCACACACATTCTAATCAGTGACATTGGACTGGTCATCGACTGGTCCTTAGTTCCTGCATGCAGAACTGTGGGACTCTAAGGGCCAGGATTAACAAATACTTATCTACAGTATCGGGTTCTGCATTTAGTGGACCATGCTTCAAGCACGAGTGTTCAGAGGGACAGCTGGTTATACTGTATCTCTAATGGTATAATCTTTATATCTATAGTCCACAGTCCTGCTTCTGAGTTATCATCTACAGGACCAGCACTCAAGTGGATCTAAGAGAGTTATGTTCCTAATCCTGGTATGTACAAGAGGGGTCAGTGATAGAAGCATTCACATTTCTGAGAACGCCCCACAGGGGTGCTCTCCTCAACCTGCTCCTTCTTCCTCTGACAGGCTTGTCCATTTTACCTGTCTTTTCTTGCTCTTTAGTGAAGGTCCCTTAACTTAATCTGTTCCTGCTCCAGAGGGGCCAGGTGGCATTGCAGTCATTACTTGTTGATTATGCAAAGGGACTCAGGTGGACTTTCCTCTTTCAATCATGGACCCAATCTTTATATTTTTGCTCTATTATGTTTGGGCCTCCACCAGACAAATCCTTGCTTCCTGTAATTTAGTATTCACGTAGGACATCTGCTCATCTGTTGTTGACGTCAAATCTGTCACTACAAGCTTTCTTTGATCCTTAATTGCTGCAGTATTGTTTGCTACCGACACTTGCACTTATATACATTTGGAATACACTGAAAGTCATTCTTGATGTTAAAAAGAAAGAAAACATTTAAAATACAAATTACATCTTGATGAGCAGGAATTCTATGGGTATTTCCCTAATTTATGTTTTTTCTTCTTTGAATGCAGTTATTTTTCTCTCACATATGAATATTCAGTTATATTACATCAAACATAAATACAGTGACTACTATCAATTTGTTGCATCAATATTTCATTAATATATGTATCAACTTAAACTAGTCATTCAAATCTCATCTGACACTTTGAACCACACTTTAAGTTAAACATTGACATCAGCCCACCTGCAGTTTGTTCAGTCAAATAAATAATCGTCGTAACCACTAAATATTTTTTTTACACCAGATAGCCTCAGCATTGACCTTTTACTTTTTTTTTATCACTAAAACACACACTTTTTATGCTTTTCATCTTGACAATGTTTCCACCTAAACACATAAATGCACAATCTTAACTGAAGCAGATATTAACTGAGTTTGTGCTTTCATGCACATTTGTGCACAGTGCTACCCTTAATGGTTGGCCACAGGTCAGTGAAGATACATCTTTATAAAATGTTGTTGGTGGCTGACAGATGACCTACCAGACCATGAATTGCCTGTCTAACATTTTTTAGTTGCGTTCCAACCAGTGTTCCAGTTGTAATGGCATACTGCAATAAAGCCACCTGCTCACCAACCACAGCAATCAATGAAGATGATTTTTTTTCCTTTTTCTTTTTTTTCTTTTTTGTGACACAAACCAAAAGAGGTTGTATTGACATTTGAGGCTAGAGTGTGAATCAATAGCAACCAGTCAAGCCATCTGACTGAGCAAAACCTATAAAAATTGAGCCCACTTGTTGTGGTTGAAAGATTGATTGATGGTCTGAATGGCAAATATTTAGAGAGTGTCAAACTATGTTTTATTAGTCATTATTAGTAATTATTTGAAGATATAAAAAAGAGAAACTTAGAAAAACTTAGAAAAAGCCAAAGTGCAAAGAGAAGTAATGTGAATCACTGAAAGGTAAATGCAATATTATTTGTCTTTATGCACAGCTATGTCTTTCGGGTTGTTTTTGCCTGTCTCGTCAATATCATATTCTCAGAAAGTAAAACCCAGTGACAGGTTTGATTTTGTCATTGTCCCATTCAAAGTAGGTTTCCACATTAATCAAAATGACTCTGTTAAATAAAGCATGAAAAAAGCTTTTCAATGAAAGGTGTGCTGAAGCGTAAGCCATCTTTCCAATAATGTTTGAAAATTACAGTTGGGATTCTGCTCAGCATTGCAAATTACTACTGCTGCACCCACGTAAATGCAAATATAAAAAAAGGAAAAAAATGAAGTTTAAAAAAGGAACACGTGAAACTCATTTCTTTAAGCAGATATAAAACGTAGACTGATGGCTGTTTCTCTGAGAATTGGTAAGAGACCTGTCATAGTGGATGAATGTGTGTTCCCAGCACTAACTGTCAGCACAGTTGGTAAATGGTTTTAAAACAGTGGGGGCTGACACTGTGCATACCAGATTGTGCCTGAATGGGAACTCTTCACTTTCACCTAACAGGGTGTGGCAGCTAGTTCTCTACACCCCTCTCATAGTTTGTGGGTCAGTCATTGATAAAATGTACCATAGGATTTGAGCTGTTAGGTAAAAGTGGAAGCAAAAAAGCACAAAAAATATTGTGTTCATAATTACAACTCTCCCTGTGTGTAATCCCCTACCTATTTCCTACCTATTAACCAATTTCAGATTGAAATAGGGAAAATCATTTTTTTAAAAGGAAATACATTTTTATCACTTTCCTGGTTGTTTATTGTAGAATGAGCGAGATAAAGGACAGATTTTCTTAAATAGAATTGGCCTTGTCTTTTTCTGCTCAGTGTGTGAAAATAGTATTGATTAATGGTCATCGCTACTTTTTTCTTATAGAATGATGTAAAGACCCTGTCATTTACTGTCACCTTTTCCAAGAATGTGTTCCATCAATCCCACTGCTAAACCAGGCGAGTAGTGGCAGGTGGCACATATTTCACCTGCCCAGGCAAAATGGGACAGTAAGTGGGACAAGGCAGGGAGACGAAAGTAACACATATGAAGGTGACAGCTTTTCGTACCTGGGAATAATGGTTTTGATAGGAGTCCTGCTTGTTTCTCTACTGTGGGCTGGACGGAGACCAAAAATGTGTGATAATATACACAATTAGCTTATGGCACAAAAAGACCCAGGGCCTTCACAAGCCAGGGCAAATCTAAACTGTACCTTTCACCAGGAAGTGTTGCAGCTTAGTCTCAGCACAAAGCCAAAAGAATACCATGTTTTGACACATCAGAGATACAATTATCAGACCCTAAAGCTGTACTTGTCTACACATGCACCTTATCAGTTAGATGGTACATAGTGTGAGAGAAGTGCAGTTCATATCTACATCACCACCATAAAGTTGTCATCCTAGCTCTATCTGGTTTCCAATTTGAAATCCTGAAAAGGATACAAATTTTCAACATTATAGTGTATTCGCTGCATATTTATCTTTATCTATTCATATTTATTTTGAAACAATTTACATTACACATTAGCAGTATCCTCTTAAGTAAATAAATGTAAATATGAATATGGTCCAGGGTGGACCCCGCCTCTCGCTCGGATGGGCTCATGCCACATGCACGACCCCATTGGGGAAAAGCAGTATATGAAATGGATGGATGAATGAATATGGTATTCTGTCAAAATGTATTTTCCCTTGTGTTTGTAAAGGGAAAAAAATCCATTCAATATCAAAGCCCCAGCAATTAAGGCATTAATAACAGCACATGCACACAAAGCCATTTTGTTTTTCAGCAGACCATGATGCTTGTTATGTTAATGTCCAACAATTGGGCTACAGTTTGGCAGATTAGTGTGGGACCATGATGTTTTTTGTTTTGTTTGTTTTTTTTGTCATATCCATGGGATCTTGTATACAAGTACTTTGAACTTGTCTACACTGGAAAAAGTTGCATTGGTTACTGGCTAAAGGGCATCCCCTAAGTTACTTAAGCTTATCACCACCTCTTCCACAACACTTTCGATTGCAGCTACTGTCCCTAAGAGAAAAAGACATAGGTTAAATAAACATGGCACACAAGAACACTTGTGTGATAATTCATCAGTCGAGAGGCTACGGACATCGATATACCATCACAATTAGCTATTGTTTTTAGATTTTTTTAATATAAAGGAGAAAAAAACGTGCAGAAAATAATTGAAGGGCTGTGTTTTGTTTTAAATCAGTTCAACTACAAGAGACTTCTCCACAGGAATATAACTTCAGTAGACTATGATTTGGCACAGTTTCTGACTCGATGGGCAATCTGTATAGTTATCTGGTTGTAGGCATAGTTATGGTGATAGCAGCTGCCTAAAAAATCAAGGAGAAAAAGATATCATTTTTGATAAGGTATGCATGTATGGACATATACTGACCGCATCTGCCCATTGCTGTGTATCTGTCCACTTTTTTTGTTTTTGTGGTAAATCAGGGAGGTGCAATTTAGCAAGATTACACATATTTTCTACATTTCAAAGACAATTTCTAATATCTTTAAAATGTCCAAGAGTTTTCAGGGAAAAAAGTTTTTGTTACACAGTAACGTTAACAGACATGAAATTGGTTGACAATTGCTTAAGAAAAGTGTGGTTGAAAAATGGAGTAGCTACTTGGGTAAAAATGGCTGTTGATAAGTTATGAATTACTTTCAAGATATCCTTCTGGTTATTATTTTAAAGACATTAAGCATAATCTAACATACATCAAAGGTGCTTTATCTTTCTTCCTATTGTTTGTATCTTTTTAATAGGGAAATCTGACAATCGAGTGAGGTACCACCATCCACGTGGTATAAACATCTAGGTTTGCACCAGCATCACCGTTATATTTAGGTGTGTGTCTCTCAGTGGTAAAAAAAACACAACATGGCCGGTATCAATAGCTGTTGCCATGGATTAAAGCGTGATGGTCTTGATAACAAACACTTACCAATGTGGTCTGTTGACCTGAAAATCAGCACCCTGATATTTAAAAGGAACCTTGTTTTCATGTCAGGAAACATCAGGAAGCAAAAAAAAATTGGAACACCTGGTCAAACTTCAAACTAGGATTTGTCAATAAAGACCCATATTAGCTTTGGGTTTCCACATGAAGTTTTTATTTCATTCCCACTTTTTAGATAATCAATGTATGAAATTTTATATGAAAATTGTCATTTATGAATCAACCATCCAGTCCACATTAGACCATTTCAACATCCCTTAAAATATCAATTGTAAACTTGAACCCAATAAAAAAAAATGCAGCTACAAAGACAATATTCGTCTTGGTAGTGGAATGGTTATAAGATGATGATTTTATTATTAATACAATAATAATAATAATTTCATACACTAGACTCAATGTGTTCACTGATATTATTTGAACCATTTGCATTCTTTTTATATTCGTTTTGGAAGATAAAAATAGAATAATCCAACCCTCTTGCAGGATGTATTTGCAGTCAGCTGCACAACACATCTTCTTAATTTCAGTGTTTTCAGTCTTTTTGGGGCTATTAAAACAGTTCACTGTGACTGAGTGAGCTGTCTACTTGCCGGATGCATGTTGCAGTTGATAGGGACAGGGAAACAGAGGTAATGCTGGACCAGGGTGAGAAAAGTGTTAAATCATTAATGTTACCTTTTGAAAGTTTGAACTTTAATTGTATGATTTTGTGAAACATTGTGTTATATTTTGGGACTTCAAATGGTTAAACTGTGTCTGGATTAGAAAACATTTGCCACTTTTAGTTAATCCCTGTTAATCCCTCCTCCATATGTCCACAAAAAACATCTGAGCCCAAGAACTATATTATTTTCAGAAAAACGATTTATTTTAGTACATATTGTTGTGTTATTTTATAATCCAAGCCCAGTCTTTTGGACTTGATTTTCACCTTTAGCCTACTCTACTAATGACTATATTCAACCATCAAGCTGCAATGTCATGTAATCCTTAATTTGGAATTTGGATGTACGTCATCTAGAATTCATTATACACTCTTTTCATAAATGTAAGAAAAACATATAAATTACAAAACACAACAGAACAGTTTCTAAGGAGTTTTGTAAAAGCTTTAACAGTGATACACCAAACCGTACAAGCTTTGAGAATTTAATCTTTTTTTTTTTCTAATTTGTCTGTAAGATTCCCTATTTTGCTGTGTAATTTAGACATAGAGGGGACATTTCATGTGGGCAAGTATTGCTGACTTCCAGCCCTACTGGGCACAAATAGATAGAGCAGCAACTGAGTTCAGAGGTTGGAGTGAAAAGGTAGAGCTATCAGGGATAAATCAGTTCAAGCTATTTAAGTCAATATTGTTCACCCCATCTGACAGCCACAGTAACACCTTCCTGATCCACAAGGCCAGTGGACAAAGGAGGCTGCATGTGTCTCATCAGCAAGGGATTGTGGGCTTGGACTACTGCAGAATAGCTGGAGGGGTAGAGGCATGTGTTCAAGGGTCCCTATAGAGCAGGCATAAAAATGAAGGACTTACTATTGTTGACCTAGCCACAGGCCATCTATGTCACCAGTAACGCCGTCAATACCACTGTGTCACATTTGCACTTCAAAAATATGAAGAACAATTAGAATGACTCAGTTGCCATGTTTAGCTTTTTTTTAAACTAAATCCAGAATTAGTTATAAGTTGTGTTTTTTTCATCATGCTTTCACAGGGAACAAAATTAAAAATACTTTTATCATGTATTTTATTTTGCTTTCATTTGCTTTTTCTTGAAAGTGATTACAATGGTACAATATAGATATATACTTTCACAATCTGATTTGTATCAAATAAGCATTACGATGTTTTCTGCTAAATTAGCTTAATAGATAAAATTGGAAAGTGCATTACTACTTTCTACCTATTTCAGTACAGAAGAAAAAATAGTAAATTACAAAAACTGAATTGTAGAATTAGAAATGTCCTATTGATAATTCAATTGGTCATCCTCCATAACTGAGGAACATTATTTCGCCATCCTAAATGTACTAAAACCCCTTTTTCTTTTTCTTTTTCATTTAGTATGGCAAACAACCTGTATTGCTTAGTCAATCATTTCTCATGACTGATATATAAATGGCCCATAGCAGAACATTTCCAATTTATTGCAAAGGCTCAATGAAATTGTACAATAACTGTCAAATTAATACTTCTTTTCCCTACACTGGTATATATTTGGTTTTGATTTGTTACCATGTCAGCATGTCCTATGCTTTATGTCCCATGCCTTATGTACATTTTCCATGTCTTCCTTCACTTGGCTAAAATGCTTATACCAGGAAAAACTGATTGGTGGTGGTGAATTGTTGATTCATTAGTCATCACTCACAATGTTTTGCATAGTCATTTCAAATTTTACCTTCCTCCCAAGTGCAATTCTTTTGTAAACAATGCTGCATCTGTAATGAGACAGGCATTGTTTGACAAGATTTTGTTTATAGAGGTAGATGAGACCAGTACTTACATTTTTGATAACATATTACCTCTAGTGATCATAAAGACAACAACATACAAAATAAAAAAAATTGTGTTGGATGCATTGTGTTAAATGATTTATTTAACCCTGAAGTCGATTTTTCTCTGATCCTATCTAAGTCATTTGGGTTTATAACCGTGATCAGGTGATGCTATTGCCGATATCTGAGCAAGACAGTTCCATTGTTACATGTTGTCTTTACGTGTAACTAAAGGCAAGCAGGTTTATGTCATTTGTAAAAGTGATAGTGTGTGACCTGTTTGTAGAAGACGAAATAGAGAGAAATCAAAAAGAAAAGGAAAACAAGTTAACGGCAGATCTGATGCTGGTGGAAACAAATGTAGTATACACTGCAGTGCAGTGCAGTCAGGAGCAAAGTTAGTGTGCAAGAAAATTACCTTCAATATTTAGGAACTTTAAAATGCATAATACAATCACATTGATACAGTCTTACATGATTGTATCATTTAGTTTAAATTGGTAAAGAAAAAAATCACAGTCAGGTACTAAAAACATGGGAAAAACAGAAGAAGCCTTTATGATGCACTACAGGGGTGACGATAGGAAATAGATTTACCATGGACATCAGTGGAATGGCTGTGTATGATGCAAGCCACTGAAGCAGATGGAAGTAGCCCCTGTAACAACAAACTGAATAAAAACACAAAACAGAAATCCAAATTAGTAGAAATACAGAAATTCGCAGGGCCAACAGTGATTTCACCAACTGAATCAATTTATTAGGTGTGATGATGCAAAGTCCTAGTCACATCATATCACACATTACTGACTCTGCTTTGCTAAAACCACCTCAACAGCCATGAGCAGGGCATTGCTCATGTCATCTGCAAATCACAAATCGTAGCTCTTGACGCGAACCGCTGCACAGAAGCCAAATGCCTAGGGGCTCTGGCCAAAGCCAGAATCAGACTTTAAAGTGGTTTTGAACAGGGAGCAAAAGGAGGGGCAGAATTTGCCTCTGAGCCTAACATAGACAGAGATTCAATCTTCAATGGTATGAGAAAAACATGAAAGAAAGAATAGAGATGAGAAATAAGAAAAAACAGTAGTGTGGCCAGCTCATCCATCCTACTTTAAAAGGTCAGGATTTTGTAGGTGGAGTTACCAACAGCAGTGAATTGCAGCTGCACCAAACAGCAGGGTATTTTCCGCTGCCATGACCAGCTAAGGAGAGCTCCCTTAAAGCACATCTGCCAGTAAACATTTTGGCCTGACTCTGGGTCATCTCTCCTGTCTGGACAAGTTGCAGCTGAGCGTGAAGATGTACCTGCACACAACCTCAGCACTCAGTCATATTTCCTTTAAATACACTAAATCTAAAATGTATTTGATTGAATTTAATAGATTTGATTTAAAAAAAATGTGCATAATACAGTATATTAACCAGTAATTTATCATGTCAATTATCCTTAAATGAATAAGGGTAATAAAGTTTTATGTATAAATCCTGGTATTCATTTCAAAAGTATCCTTGCTTTATTAAATGAAAAGAAAATGCGGGACCATA